GAAGCACAGCAGCATGATCAAGAGCAACAGCAACTTGGGATTGGCGCCACAATTAACGACTTCCTGAGCGCGAGTCGTGGCCTGTCCGCTGCCGCTGCCGGCACACCTGTAACCCCCCTTCACAGCCACAAACGTTCCTCTGCAGAACGGTCACCAGATTCGCTGCCGCAGGATGCAAAGCGAGCTGACCAGCATGGTGCGCAGCCACCCCAGCAGGATACACAGACCCACGAGCCCACCACCCAATGTAGGCCATGCACCAACCCAAACAACGCCAACGGTCACAATGAAAACTAAGGCCCCCTCACTCCGTCTTCTGCTCACGAATGCATTCAGCATTTACAACAAAATGGATGAGCTTCAGCATACTCTGAAAAGCCTGCATGTAGACATCGCTGTCGTCACCGAGACCAAACTATCGCCCGACAAGGCTTCAGTTGCGGAAGTCTCAATCCCTGGCTATTACCCCCCAATACGTCGAGACCGGACAGCGCAAGGCGGCGGAGTCGCCATATGGCTGAAAGAAGGGATGGCGTACAAACAACTGGACATCAACTCTGAGTGTGAAACTCTTTGGATTAGTGTTGCTGCACCGTCAGGCATGAAATTTGGCATCTGTGCTGCCTACAGACCTGGGACGAGTGCAGACAGCGACTGCAGTATCTTCACCCAGCTGGAATCTGACATCGACAAAGCCCGGCAGTCCTGCTCACACATTATTGTGGCAGGGGACTTCAATGCCCACAACCGGGAATGGCTTGGAAGTCCACGCACCTCGGCTGCTGGAGAAGCTGCAGAAGACATGTGCTGTGTACATGGTCTCCGACAACACGTCACCTCAGCCACTCGTGGAGAAAACATCCTTGACCTCGTCATGTCAGATGTGCCTGGAGCCGTGTCTACCACCACCCAACCACCTCTTGGCAGATCAGACCATGCTGTTGTCATAGCCGACTTCCAGCTTACTGCATCCGTAGACCAACCCACCACTCGTACAGTATGGCGATACCAGCGGGCTGACTGGCCCCGCCTCTCTGCCTTCCTCCGGACTACTGACTGGGACACAATAATCGGCGACGACCCTAACATATCATGTGAGCTTCTGACCATGCGAATCACTGAGGGAATGCAACGCTTTATACCATCCAAGGTCTTCAAGATCAGACCGCAGGACCCAATCTGGTGGACGCCAGAATGCTCTGCAGCAGTTGACAGAAAGCGCAATGCCTGGCGGAAATTCCGCGATGACCCCAGAAATGGAGCGCTCCAGTGTACGTACAAGCTAGCATCCCTTGACTCAACAAGATGTCTAGCAAGAGCCAAAGCCAGACATCTCGACCATGTCAAGCAACGGCTCCGGACGGGCAGCCTGCAGGACAGAGAGTGGTGGAGCGTGATTAAACGAGTTGGAGGGCATGGCCGGGACAGCTCCATCCCAGTCCTGGTTGACCCCGATGGCATGGAATGCACCAAACGCCACGACAAGGCTAACGTCATCGGGAAGTACTTTGCCCAGAAGTGCAGCCTAGACGATGACTTTGCAGAACAGTCGGGGCCGTTCCCGCATGTCCGCCAGCGCACCGCAAATACGCTTGCAACAGTCCACTTCCGCCAAGCCACCGTACGCCGGACACTCCGAGCCCTGAACCCAAGTAAAGCCACAGGGCCTGATGCAGTACCTGCTAGAGTGCTGAGAAAATGTGCCGACTCTCTGGCCCTGCCCCTATCCAAGCTGTTTACCCTGTGCTTCTGCAGTGGTCATCAACCTGCCATGTGGAAAGTTGCCAACGTCGTACCAGTACACAAGAAAGGCCCCAAGTCGAACCCCAGAAACTACCGACCGATATCACTACTGCCCATAATGTCTAAGTGTATGGAGTCCATCGTGAACCGCAGCCTGTCCAACTTCCTGAAGAAGAATGACATCCTTTCTCACAGGCAGTTTGGCTTTCGCACTGGACTGGGAACCTCTGATCTGCTGATTGCTCTTCAGCATGAGTGGAGCCTTGCAGCTGCCAGTGGAGGCCTCGTCAGGGTACTCGCAGTAGATATTGCCGGGGCCTTCGACAAGGTCTCGCACAACGGCGTCCTCCACAAGGCTGAGCGGTGCGGCATAAGTGGCCTCCTCCTTGCCTGGCTCCGGAGTTACCTGACAGACCGCCACATCCGGGTCGTCATAGGTGGCCAGTCTTCACCGACCCACCGAATCCAATCTGGCGTGCCACAGGGCAGCATCCTCGGCCCCACCCTCTTCCTTCTGTACGTCAACGACGCAGAAGACCACCTGCCTGATGGGGCGAAGCTGGCTGTATACGCCGACGACACAACTCTCTACAAGTGCATCACCACCCGACTCAGACTGCCAGAAGAGACAGCAATCCTCCAGCAGGCAGTAGACTCACTGGCAGCATGGGGAAGCAGGTGGAGGATCAAGTTCGAGCCCACAAAGTCGCAGGCATTGACCATCAGCCACCACCGCTCGCCAACCCCCCCGAACGCAATACGCTTCCAAGGAGCAGTCGTGCCAGAAGTAGAGGAGCTCAAGCTTCTTGGCGTCACCTTCGACAGGCAGCTGGCATTCCGCAGCCATATCCGACAGCTTGCAGTACGCGGAGCCCAGCGGCTCGGCTTCCTCCGTAAGGCATCGGCTGTGCTAGACCCAAAGCACCGGGCAATCGTGTACCGTGGCTTTGTCCGCCCTGTGCTAGAGTATGGCATGCTGGTGTGGATGAGCGCAGCCCCCACCACCTTGGCCCGCCTCACTGCCATCCAGCACCGTGCCCTGCACATAATTGGAGATGGAGCATACCTCCCGAGCCTCGACATTCGCCGTACCGTAGCAGGGCTCTGCTTTCTGTACAAGCTGCACTTTGTGGAGGGTCCGGAAATGGTGAAAGCCATTCTGCCACCATCAGCAGCCGCACCGCAACACCGCATGCCTACTCGAGCGACAACCAGATCTGCAACACATCATCCATCGCAACTCACCAGTATCCTTCCCCCTCAGGCAAGAAACAACACGCTCCGCTCATTTCCCCACTCCCTCATCGAAACGTGGAATCAGCTCCCACCTACCCTTCTGCAGTCTCCCCCTTCTCGCAGAGGCATGCACACGTTCAAGAAAAACGTTAACGACCACTTGCGGCGCAGCAAGTGGGAGTGGGCCACAGACAGGCTATGATCTCTGCCAACACACCAGCCTAATTATACTGACCGCACTCCAGCTCCCTTCTACCCCTCTTTGATCCCCTTCGCTCAGCCTTAAAACCCGATTATCAGTTCACTCCATCTTCCTACGGTGCACTGCTTTTACTATTGTTTTGTCTTATCCCAATCTCAAATTCTCCCCATTATCGTTTGCAAAGCCAGTGCTCCCCTCTTGGATGCACATGTTTCTTTTCTCCTATGTATCGGCGCACAGGAGTAACAACGATTCCGAGACCTTTGGTCGGAGGAGTTACTTTTGCCCCGCCCCCACTTCCATCCAATATGCCACCGCCCCCGCTGTGCAGCATCTGATGGTACTGTGGTATTCAGTAAAAAAAAAAAAAAAAAAAAAAAAAAAAAGTAATCCTATCCTCTTCAAGTTAGAAATTGATTGTCCCAGCCAATGTACATGTATGGTGTGATGTGCTCTATTCTTTCCAACATTTAGCTGTAATGTTGTGTTGGTTTCAGGCTTGGTCCACTGACGTACGGTGCAGGACGCGCAAAACTGGAGGAGAGGCACAAGAGGAAGGAGGAGCAGGAGACATTGCGCAAGGAACGTGAAGCGACCAAGAAAGCCAAAGAGCAGCAGAAGTGCGAAGATCGTCAGCTGGCTGCAAAGGATGCAGCAAAGCTGCTGTGGAGCCACCATCACCAGGGCCTAGCACACGCACTTGGTAAACTTCAGAAGAAGCACCTTTCTGCCCTTCTGATTCTCACCAAGAGCCCGGTTAAAGGCAATGAAACGCATGGTGTGTTGGCCTCACACCTTGAGAACAAGCTCAAGAGCGATGACCTGGAGAAGCAAGACAAGAATATACGAGAGCTTGTCAACCTCTTCTACGAAATCCCAGTGTCATGTTCCCCAGCGTCAGCGTCAACAACCACGACCATCAGCAGTCTCCCGTCCCCGGCGGCCACCATGTCGCCAGCAGCATCCCCTGGTACATCCTTCTGGCCTAGGAGTGTTTCAACTCCACTACCCAGGGCAACGGTGGCTGTTTCACCTCGACCAGCCTTCCTGATGCAGCCTAGACTCCCACGGCCCAGCAATTACAGCGGACCCAGGCTACCAACTGGATATGCTGCTCGGCCGACACCAAGAGGAAACCAACCATCATCCAGTGGATCCAGCTGAGCTGATGACCATGTGTGGCGCAGGTTTGGACACGTTCTCCTGCCGGCCCTTCGGACAATTTCTTCTTCTTTCTTATTTATTCCGGTTCATTGTTCTGTTCATAGTCCACACGCTACTATGATCTTCAAGTAATCATGCTTCTGTGGTGTTGCCAGACCCGGGCGATGCTCTATTTCAATTGTAATGCACATGTTGTGGTTCTTTAAAACTTTTTGGTTTCAGTGGATGCTGGGAAGCCACTTTTTAGGGCTCTAATTGCTTGCGGAAGACTTTGGTTTTTTGGCATTAGTACTTGTCACTGTTCTAGCATGTACATGTATGTGTGTAGAATGGAAGAATGCGATGAAATAACACTAAACATAGTCATTTTACACAATGCTTAGAATCAAAAACGTTCATATTCATAGCATCATATCAACCCAAACATGATCCATTCCTTGGGGCGTTATGATAGTCATATTCAGTTGAAACTTGGTGAAGATAGAAAGAAAGGGATCATCTTCTGAGTGAGGCCAAAAAATGTATACACATGCGCACTGACACCCCGATATTGTACGATTTTACATTCATGCAATAAAAATGCATAATCACCTCGTACCAGCGTAACTACTTCTCAGCTGGCATGTTCGTTAGCTATTGCATTGTAAGACCTTACCTTGTTGTTTGTGGAGATCGGATGCTCTTCAGTACGTGTGTAATGATGTGTTACGAGAGTTGCTACACTAGTCTATTGATCACGATACACGATGCGATACACGATGCAAAAAGAGTTGGCTGCAAACAACAACTAAAATGTCGGTTGGTCAGAAATATCAGAACAGTGTAGTTCTGCTCTTCAGACGTCCGGTCATATACCGGTACTAGTACTACTGACTACTACTAGTATCCTCGTGGTTCAGCTGATAATAATGATGGGATCGCGAATCGCCAGATTGATTCCAAATCGTCCCGTTTACTTTGGGGATTTCGACAAGCGTTCTACTGCATTCTGGCACGCTGACGGCCATGCATCCAGTACAGTGCTAGGCGGTACAAAGACCGGCAGCGAGCGCGTGAGTGCAGTCCACACTGGAACAGGCTATGGTAGTATGGGTCAGTGGTCTGTGTCAGTGTGTGCCACTGACAGTCAGTGTTTTGGTGAAGTACATGGAATCGTGGATGTGTCTAGACTTATTCGATGAACGATGACATCTCTTGAAACCAGCGTGTCATGAAGACATGATTGATGATGAGGACAGCTGGCTGGCATGCACGGACACAGGTACATGTAGGTGCTGGTAGGCCCACTCAGTACAGGTTTGACCTGGTAGCCATAACCCTGGATCGATCGCGGGCGCAAAGAAAACATTAGATTGTCACAATATGTGGCGTATGTAGAGAAGTGCCTCATCACCGTCACAACCGCATTGTCGTGTGATGCTTTATTTTTGTGCAGTACTCAAATGCCCAATAGCGGAAGATTGGATCATCATTTTTGTGCTGCCTCTGGCTCACACCATCATATGGCCTCCCGACGCATTAGACTTAGTAACGTTATGTACATGTACGCGGCGAGAATAATCACTGCCGACAGGAGATCGAGCCTCAACAAGCGGTCGGAGTTGATATCCAAATGTCGACATCAAAATAAATTCATGCTGTCAACACCGATAACATGATCTTCTCGGCACCCTGCCTCCAGGCAGTAGGGCCAGTTGATAGCTCTCTGCCGCCTTGTCACCGTCATCATCTTTGCACCGCGGAACTCACTAGCTAGGCCAGCTCAGTTTTATCACCTTTATCACCTTTATCCTTTATCACCTTAGTACCGCGATCCTTACTGGCTATGACACTGAATCGGATATGAGTTGATAGCGCCCCTAGCGCTTTCTGTTATCCTTGTCCCGCCATACTGGGCTTTAAATAGTGGGTTATTTTTCTTGATGTTCATATCACCTGATGAGTGCCTGAGATGGCATGAAACTTTAAGTTGTGACTGATCAAGCCATCTGTTGTTCTGACTAGTGTGTACATGTACATGTACATACCCATAGCCGGCATAGGCCATGTGTGTGGTAACGACTGGCTTCTTGCCTTGGCTTCCAGGCTTGGCTTATAGTACATCATCGTACATGTACATGGATTGTCTTAGTTTTCGCGAACTCCATTGGAGCCATGATTGTAGACTCACAGGGGCCTCTTTGCCACAATGGATTCTTTGTCAGTGTCACTATGAATCTAATTTTCTGGCGCAGCAGTGCAAGCAGTCAATAAATATAGCCCTACATCGTAAGGAGTGAAATATGCGGGAATATTTGACTGCTTTTATATACATTGTAGATATCTCAGGCTGCTGTGTGGTAACACACACACTACAATGTACTCTGATTTCAGAAATTTTCGGTGCTCAATATTTTCCGTATGAGGGCAACAGGCTAGGTTAGGTGAACAGAAATTTTCGGTACAGAGAAGCAGTTCCCTCTTGGATTATGTGTGTTAGTGTTTGCTCGGTGTCTTGAAATTTTAGGTATGAAACAGACGCACCGAAAGTACCGAAAATAAAAGTACACCGAAAATTTGTGAAATTACAGTACATGTACATGTATGTCCAGTGGACAGAGCCAGTATTGTAATACAAAGATCACGCAGCAATGAAGCTTCATTGCTGTGTGATCTTTGTACATGTACATGTATGACTGCTTTTATCTGGGGGTATCAATACTAATTAGGGAGTGATAAAGTAAAATCACGTTCAAAGCGAGGGCCCCCGGTTTGAGTCCTGGTGGTGACAGTCAATGTTTTCTTCAGACTTTTCCAGTTTGCGTTTTTCCCTCAAACCAGTGAGTAAAAATCATTTTCTGGACGTTGAAGATACAGGGCAGTTCTTCATGCACTGGCTCTGGATCTTTTGACATCCATGACTGTACACTTCTACAATCTACAGTGTATGCAATGTATTGTAGTCTGCTTCACTTCACTCTTCAGGCGTTCAACCAACGACGGGAGAGGGGGGGGGGGGGGGTAGTACTACTGTCGTGTCGGTGTGTTGCTACAATGACATACAATGTAGTACAGTGTACATGTACATGTACATCACTTCAGCCTTCACTGGCTTCAGCCTTCATAATTATCAGGGCGCTTTCCAAGGTTGGGACCATACGATGGGATGGGACCATACTAATTACTAGAATGTCAAACAAGTACTACAATCATACGTGTATGTGTACGTGCAAGTCACTCACAAGATCTCTTCTCTACGACTACTACGAGTACGACTCTATTCTAGTCTAGCTAGATCTACAAGCTCTTGACCTGATCTTAGCACGCAGAATCACGTGCCTGCACTTGATCTGCCACCTTTCCGCGTTCATACTGCACTTGTAGTGATGGTGCTTCATGCCATGCTGTCATACTCATACTGAGTCAAAGCTCATGCGTGTCACACTCAGGTACAACACGGTAAAGCCTGGAATGCTGGACGGAGAGCACGTCAACGCGCGCACGTGCCGTTGTACATTATGACGATCATCTACAAAGGCACATGCGCGTGTATGTTTCCAAGGCGACCAAAATGCCAAAGTATTATTATCATTATTATTTTAATATTTAACATGACCCGCGTGCCGCGCGCTGAATGCACAGGTGTTTGACCGTGCATGCGTGTCGATTTGCAAAACGTTTTCTTTTCGTTTCGAGTACGTTCTCGTGCACTCAAGAAACGTCATCTTTATCTCTACCACTGAGCGAAACCTTACACATCCTTGGCGAAACAATTGTAAAATTTCTGAGGAAGAGAACGATGAATGTTTCCAGTAGAAATCTTGAAAAACTAGAAATGCCATACACACTGTAGAAAACATACATTGTATATTTTGTACATGTATAAGGGATTTGGAGACAAACTGACAAAGGTTTTATCATTGCGATTCAAATTTCTTACTAAACGAAGCAGATATTAGAACGTTCAAACAAAAAAATCTTTTCTCCTCGTTCTACAATGTTATGAATTGGGATACGTGTACCGAAACATGTGTTAACATTTTGAGTTTTTTTAACCCAGATTTACTCCACAAAAATGTGCAGGCAAAAATGGTGACTGTTTGCGTGCATGTGTGTGTGTTTGTGCGAGCAAATGTCTACATGTTTGTGCATGAGCGGATGTGATTGTGTGTGTGTGTATGTGTGAGTGTGTGTGTGTATGTGTGAGTGTGTGTGTGTACATGTATGTGTGTATGTGTGCCTGTGTTTTCGCGCTTGCGGGAAGGAGGCTTGCAGTGCGTTTGATCTGTGGCCGATAAAGTGAACTATAATCTAGCGATGCAGCAAGGATACCTGAACTAATCTACGCAAACATCTTAATAATCGTCTTCAAAAAAGGGAAAAGGGCCAAGGGGAAAAGAAACTGAAGTTTAAAAAGTTTCAGCTGCGAACATACACTGTACATGTATACAAGAACATGACTTTGTACTTGCACATTGTACATGTAACTCGTACAATATACCATACTGAACATTCACTGCAGGATAATGTACAATATACCATACTGAACATTCACTCCAGGATAATGTACAATATACCATACTGAACATTCACTCCAGGATAATGTACAATATACCATACTGAACATTCACTCCAGGATAATGTACAATGTGCATGTACATGTATGCTGAGAGTGTTACAGGTTGCTAGCCGTAGCCTGGCTTCACAGATGTCTCCTGTACGGGAAGTGGCGGCCAAGGCGAAGCTGTAGATTCATCAGGATGCTTTTCCATCGGTGTTGAATGCAGAGCATAGCACACTGGTGCTTGATACTTTTCAGGAGACTCCGTGCATTCGGCTATCATTTTACCTGTAAACACACACACACACGCACACACACACATACACACATACACATACACACACGCACACACACACACACACGCTCACACACGCACACGCACACACACACACACAGTGACCGACTCCTTACTGTAAGTAGGGGTGAAACGAATATTCTAAAGAACGATACGATGCGTATTTCATACAGACACTCCTCGAAAGGCCTTTCAGCATCGAAGTCATCCTGACATACATGTACAGTGTGAATACTAAATACAGCAAAACCTTGGGTCAGCGACCTCTCGTATTAGCAACCACCTGATCTTAACGACCGTTTTTCCATGCACCGACAGTTCTCCATAGAACATGTTTTTTTTTTTTTTTTTTTTTTTAATGTTTATTTGAATTCGGATAGCTCAACAGTACAGAAGTACAACTACAAAGAGTACCGAATAGAAGGCCCCGAGAACGGGAAACCAACAAAAAAAAAAAAAAAAAAAAAAAAAACAGCAACATCAAGTTACTGATTATGCACATTGCTTGAAAGCAAATCACAACAATGATTAAGAGTTAAGCTGTCTTTTAGCCAAATAGCCAATTTGACGCGGAAATCTGCGATAGTAGTGCAGGACTTCAGGTCGTCTGGTAAATAATTCCAAACAAGAGCCGATTTACTTGAAAAGGACAGAAAGCCCGACATAGATCTATAGCGATTGATACTCATGTTATGAGTTGTAGAGCCGCGAGTAGTTCGGGTAGACGTACAGATGGGAAAGAGGGACTGCAAGCAAACAGCCGGCTTAATACAGTAACAGTGGAAAATGAATACAAGGAACAAAAATACTGATCGATATTGGAAAGAGGAAACATTGAGGTGGTGAAGAAGTGGCGTGATATTAGCTTGGGGTGATGCGCCACAAGCAACTCGTACAGCGCGCCGGTGGAGTGAGGCTAGCTTGTTTCTATTTTTAGCGGATATAAACGAAAGGTATACAGGGAGAGCATATTCTAGATCAGGCTGAATAACACCGACAACGAAAGTACGGCGGGCAAACAGGTTCATCTGGCGGAAAGATCGACGCAGTACACCGATCTTCCGTGAGGCTTTCCGGACGACATTGTTAATGTGTTGGTCAAAAGATAGCTGTGCAATGTCATGGACATACAGTACAACCTGTCTAAGACGACCGCTCAAGGTACCTTCGGCTTCGAAACGTGGTCTCTGTTACCAGGTCATCTCCTTATCCAGGGTCATTTGACTGGAAATATCATCCATTGGTCCTGGTTTCTGCGGTTTTTTAGGACAGGTGGTCGCCTTGACAGGTTTTCACTGTACTGTGAAGAATCAAGAGTATTGATTACTACAGAACATTTCACAGTGCCTCTGGAGCTAGTGTACACCAGGGAATACTAACTTGCTTTGCTTCTTTTTTGCTATTTTAACTTCGGGTTCTTTCAAATAAAGGTCTCGAGTACTAAAACATGAGTGCTCCCTGGTACACAGTATGCGGTTTGTCATACCTGTCCGGAGACCGTAGGATGGATATCCTGTCTCTAGCCGATCAAGCAGCTGTCCGACATCGTTCTCCAGACACAGGAGCACGATCAGCTCCCTGTCCTGGGCGAGTCGCTTCTCTAGGCGATTGTACCTCTCAATTAGAGCCGTGATTCTTGCTTCGAAAGGAGTGCGCGTATCACTGAGGCCAATTTCCGTGGTCATGTTCACTAAACCTGTGCAATGGAAACTACAATAAACAGCAGAACACCATACAGTGTTACAATACTCATGAGGCACGCAAACGGAAGTAAAATACAATGTAGGGCTTTTTCGTTGTTACTCAGAGTTTCATGGCAAAGACCAATCATCAGGCAACATCTGATCAGACGCACTGCCTCTGCACAATTTATAAACTCGAATGTTGAGCCAATAGTATTATGTAAAAGAGAAAAGGACCTATAAGTTACTAGTTATGATTTAATTAGAACAGTCCACCAGGGTAGCGAGATCATAACTCTACAGTTAGATAGTGCGACAACAAGGCACGAAGTTGACAAGGATATTGAGACATTCGACCAGCTAACAGACGAAGCTTCGAAGCTCATCGAATATTGTGATTTTCTTCAGCTGAGCACCCTAAAAAGTAACAGCTTGCACAATGCGCTCCATTCCGATTTTCACCCACGTTCTGGCGGAAAACTGGGCCTTTGGCCGAGTCTCACGCGAACCGTGAAATTTTTATTTTTTTTCTGGCGGAACGTCAGTGAGCCTCCATACACGGTATGTCGTGATACAGAAACGTCTGTACGTGAATCACTGAGTATCACATGGTGCACGCACGTAAAGTACATACGGATTACTTGGGACTAAACCTCCCTAATATCCTTGTCAGTTTTGTGCCTTGTCGCACTATCTGACTGTATATTATATCGTTACCTTGGTGGATTCTTAGTCCTAACTAGTAACTACAATGTTATTACTTACACAATGTACTTGTAGGTCCTTTTCTCTTTACATACATGAACTATTATTTAAAATCTTGTAGGACGCATCACGCAGCTTCATAAGTAAAAATGGGTTGTGAGCAACACTGGCTCACACTCAAATCACTGCTTTTCACCAGAAAAATATTATATTTCAACGTTTCGGTCATGAAATAACCATCATCAAGAATGAAGTGTGTACACCGGTTAGGATGGGTTAATAAATGAGGAGCGCTGCGAACTGATAACAAATCACACCTGCATGCACTATGACGAGAGAGAGAACAAAAGGACAAAACATCACCAAAAAAACAGGTATAGAAATAACACAACACGCGAAAACTCTAAATATGGCACATTACAGGCAACAAACAGAATGTACATGTGCACTAGGTGCGTGCGGACATGTAATTGCAGGCGCTAGCAACAACAGCAGTAGTAACAGTTCACTAGTGCAAGGGGTGCAAAACCACCACTATCCAGGAAGAGCGAGTATCAGGGCCAGAAATATGTACAAGGCAGTACTTCACCAGAGACTTCACAGGAGGTCCCACCCTGCGTTATTGTTTATGCTGGGGCTCGTGTCGCGAAATTGTATTGCTTCGCGTATTCTCCTCCTGGCCCGATCCGACTCAGTGGCAAGGACGCGAACCTCTGTGAATGCCGACTCGCCAAGCGGCAGTACCTCGCCACCATGGTGAAGTCGGTAGTGCTCGCTCAGGGCTTTTCTAGACGTCTTGTTGCGTGAGTTATCATTGTGTTCTTTTGTTTGCGTTGCTACACTACGGCCAGTCTCTCCAACATACTTCTCCGAGCACTTGCAGGTCAGACGATAAACCACGTTGCGTCTTGTGCATTCTACCTCGCTCGATTGGCACTTCCTGGATAGTGGTGGTTTTGCACCCCTTGCACTAGTGAACTGTTACTACTACTGTTGTTGCTAGCGCCTGCAATTACATGTCTGCACGCACCTAGTGCACATGTACATTCTTTTTGTTGCCTGTACCTGTGCCATATTTAGAGTTTTCGCGTATTGCGTTATTTCTATACCTGTTTTTTTTTGGTGATGTTTTGTCCTTTTGTTCTCTCACTCGTCATAGTGCATGCAGGTGTGATTTGTTATCAGTTCGCAGCGCTCCTCATTTATTAACCCATCCTAACCGGTGTGCCCACTTCATTCCTGATGATGGTTATTTCATGACCGAAACGTTGAAATATAATAGTTTTCTGGTGAAAAGCAGTGATTTGAGTGTGAGCCAGTGTTGCTCACAACCCATTTGAACTATTATTGTTGTGTCAATGACTATAAACGCCAATATCGCAGCACAGTGGCCTTGCACCCCCTGACGCCAGGCATGCGCTATCAACTCCCTTTGTTCCGCTCAAGTGCACTCTGGATTTACGCGCTCGATTCAGCGCTTGTGACAATAATGGACATTTTACAGCGCCTCCACCCAGCAGCCTCTCCCCTTCACACTTCACGTTTCTTTTTGTGCGCCTTGCTGTGTGGCTGTGTGTATCTTTAGTGAACCTGACAGCCCTGCTTCAGTAAGATATGTTGCCTGATGATTGATACCCTCAAGAAACTCGGAATAGCAACAGATTATGTTTTCTTGGTGAAGACCGCTTCCATTATGTACTAGCTCCCGTGCACCCCAGCACTGTCGAGCCCTCTTTGCGGTGGACGGGACCACTTCCCCCTATCTATTGTTTCCTATTCTTCAGTCCGCGATACCACAAAACCACACAAGCCGAAAACCAGTTTAAACGGAGCCATGATGCGCTTTTAGCAGGGCAAAGAACTGAATGTGGCTGGGCTCGGAACGGAGATGAGGTGGTAGCTGGTTCCACACGGCTGTGCATTGCCATAATGACATACGGAACAGGACTTACCAGTATCCTTGAGCTAGCTAGGGTGGCTCAGTTTGGGTCGGAAGTAGTGGCAGAAATCGCTCTGCTCCTTGATCTTACACCTGTTGCAGTAGCAGTGACTTCTAAGTTCTAGTTAGGATCTTTCGTTCGCAATTGACCTGCAAAGGCTACACTGCACAGTCATGTTTAATCGTAGCATGTGTCAAAACTCTTAGAAGAAGAGAAACCACCTTCTGCACAGAGGGAAAGCCACTTTTTTTCTTTTTTTTCATCTTCATTTTTTATGAATGTGCACATGCCTAAGGCGCAAAAAGGAAAGAAGAAAGGAAAGAAACACAACGCAAAAACATTCTGCACTGAGGTGTTTCGGGAGCTCTAGGGAGCAAGGTTTAGTGAGGTGAAGGCAAGGTGATCATTGTGGGACTGGTGAATGGAATACCGTCACACGTCGCCATGGAGTGCTGTCGCCCACAACTAATCGTGGCACATCAGGTGCTAACATATGCGTGACTTGAAGGCCTGCGTTCCCTTCGATGCAGGAGGGTCCTGGATGACTTGCTCAGGAATGTCGTTCCATGCTGCAATGAGGGTGTAGGGGAATGACCTCAGCAGGTAGTTCGGTGCTGTCCGAGCAAGTGGCCATTGCATCTGGAAAGGGTGGCGAGAGGCTAGTTGTCGGCGGGTTCTAGGACTAGGTTCAGGCTCTGAAGGGTTGTCAGCTGGGAGGAGGGTTGTCAGCTGGGAGGACGGTTGTCAGCTGGGAGGAGGGTTGTCAGCTGGGGTGGACCCTCAATGTAGTGTAACCTGTATATATATGCAAGCCCTGAGACTGCCCGACTGAGCTGCAAGCCCTGAGACTGCCCGACTGAGCTGCAAGCCCTGAGACTGCCCGACTGAGCAGCAAGCTCTGAAGGATCATGCCAGGTCCGAGGATCCGCATTGCCTTCTCCTGCACCCTGTCCTAGTGTGATAGGTGGGATTGGGCTGCACACATGGTTGCTAGGGAAGCGTACTCCGGGATGGGCCGAATAAACTCCTTATACACTGCAAGGCGGCCCTCATGACCCAGACGCCAGGTAGCACGGCGCGAGAATCCCAGGCGCTGTCTGTCCTTGACAACGACAGCATGGATATGGCGCCGGAACCCGAGCTTGGAGTCGAATGTGACTCCAAGCAGCTCAAGGTGGTCCGAGTCTGGAATAACCTTGCCGGCAAAGGCGGTTGGTGGAACGTCAGGGCGCTCTCCAGCATTACATAAAATGAGACTCTGGCTCTTGGTGGACTCGAACTGGATCCGCCATTGCCGGCCCCCATGCGGCAAGATCGCTGAGGGTTGCGTGTAAGGATGCTGCTTTCTGTGGAGGTTGTCGTTTGGTCTGATTAGACTGTATACGGTAGTGTTATAGGCGAAAGAGCTGAGCGTTACACAATGCGAGAGGCATTGGTTTATATCGGCGGCAAACAATATGAAGAGTGTGGAGCCAAGGACACTGCCTTGGGGCACTCCGGCAGTGACGGGAAGCGTGGCCTCCAGTTACCACCTTTAGGCAGCGGTCACTAAGCCTTCAAGGTAGTCCCGTAGCCGAGAGAGAAGAGGTCCGCCGATGCCTACTCGCTCTGCCTTGTTGAGGAGGCCGAAGTGAGAGGCGTGGTCAAACGCACCGGCAATATCAATTGCTACTACTGGGACACAGCCTCTCTCAGCTAGAACCTGCACCCATTCGCACTAAAACGTAGATAATTATACGTCATGTTTATGGTTTACTAGAACTTGCCTGCATGCAACAGTTGCAGGACATGTCCAAATTTTGCCCACCGCATGTGAGCACTAAACGACACCAACTGTCATACACCGAGCGTGTACGTCACGTTCCCTGTTAGTGTGACTGTGTACGAGCGGCTCAGGAGCAGGACACGGCTTTTCAGACATAGGGTCTACAACTGTCTATTCCTCAGAACGCGTACATTGATGTATCTGGCACAAAGGTCATGCACGTAACTAGTAAGTCATGTACAGTACATACTCTACAGTGCTGGCAACTGAAATCCGACCCCCTGAGCGGTGGTTTCACATTCTTTGCGATGTGAGCGCATCGCTCAGGGGGTGACCCGTCGGATTTCAGTTGCCAGCACTGTAACTCTCGCTCTCTCTCACCCAGGCTTGCCTTTCTGGCTAGTATCAACTATCGAAGTACTAGTGGTTCTCTGCCTTCGTGCAAAGCTCGTTGTGTCTCTAGAGCACTCTGACAAAAAATGCTTTGGTGTTCACACCGTTCGTTTCATTGTGGTCAGCTCGGCCAGTGACTCGCAGCTCCTCTGATGAGACATAAAAAGGCCGAAACAGCTACATAAGGTGGAGTATTCCCAAGATAAAATGTTATCATATCAGTTGTGTATAGACAAATCCCCCTTTTCTTTCATAATTATCAGTAAACTGAGTGACTTTATCTCGTTACACAGTCAATACCTGTGGTCGCTAGCCAGACTAAGCATTCATGTGATGTACATGTGCAGTAAACCTGTGACTAACGACCACCCCTTGGGGCCAGAGAAAGCGGTCTTTAGTGGCAGGTGGTCCTTAGTTAGAGGTTTGCACTGCACAACCATTATAATGAATGTGAGACCGTCCGTGCCTGGCGAAGCGGTCTTTAGTACCAGGCTGGTCGCTAGTCACGGTGGTCTTTAGTTACAGGTTTTACTGTAGTAGCAGGCTGGTCGCTAGTCCGGGTGGTCTTTAGTTACAGGTTTTACTGTAGATGTTTGCTCCATGAATTCACAGTAGAAATACTAGAATTATTACAGGTACGCTCTACTGATCTACAGTGTTAACTGCCACGTCAACCAGAGTTTGCTTAGTCTTCAAATCAGTGCTACTGCCTGATGCTGTTGTTGTTTGGCTTTATTCATGATGTTGTGCACTTGCGCCTGAATTTGCCTTCAGCCTTTCAGGGATTTTAACCCCAGTGTAGAGAGCACTGTTGGTGATGTCTTCCACGTAGAATCATGATAGAAAGGGAATGCATCCGGTGTTCCGCAATGCACGGCTCTTATAATTATAGTTCCGATACGTCCTACAGTGAACAGGTACATGTACATGTACCTGTTCACTGTACATGTACATGTACATGTATACACAGTGCTGGCAAGTGAAATCAGTCCCCCTTGCCTGTGATACCGGCGCCAAGGGGGTCGGATTTCACTTGCCAGTACTGTACATGTGCATGTATGTGGGCTGTGCCCTTCCATAATGACAAACGGAATGACAAACGGAATACATATACGTCGATATCACGTAATTTAATAGGCTAGTTTGCCTGTTTGTTTTTCGACTCTAGATTCGCAAACAACAACAACAACAAACGGAATACGTGTAGGACTTACATGTACCAGTGTCCTTGAACTAGCTTGGTTGGCCCTGGGTTGGTCTGAAGTAGTGGCAGCGATCGCTACGCAGCTCCTTGATCTTATACAATGTACCTGTTGCAGTAACACTGACAGTGACCTCTAGGTCTACATGTAAGTTCTACATGTAGCTAGGAATGAGTAGGATCTTAGCTTCGTTCGCAATTGACCTGCTGCAAACGCTACAGCGTACATGTGCTTGTAGATGGTAGCATGTGCCAAAACTCGTCAAGAGAAGAGAGACCACGTACTACTGTGCAGAGAGAAAAAAAGAAAATACCGTATGGCTAGTAGAGCTTGCAATAGACGTTCGAATCCGAGAGTGGAGACTCTCCACAGTGGGGAATGGGGTGCCATGTGAAGAATCTAGCCGACAAGCGAATCTAGCCCACGTGCTCTGTGGCTGTCACTTTCAGCTGTCATCACTGCACTCCTCGGTTCCCAGTCGGCTTTCTGTGGCTTTTGGTACAGATCGGGTAGTACCTGATATTGTACTACTCCCTGCTGACCTGGTACAGATAGCCTCTGGATGAGATCACTCTTCGAAGAGGTTGCAATTATGTGACTGTCAGAGTCATGTACATGCACTATGTACTATGTACATGTACATGTAGTACATAGTACATACATGGACATGTACATGTCCTGACTCCTAGTCCTACTGTCCTAGTGCAGTGGTGAACTGGTGACCACGGCTAGGCTGTCAAGAAGCGGCAACTAGAAAGATGGCGTTGGTTCGAGATGGCAGGCCTCGCGAGATGCTTCGGTTCCCAGCTTGCGAGAGGAGTCCACGTGCCGTGGTCCGTGACTTGCTCGTGAATGCACGCAAATGCAAGTCACAAACTCCCAAAGATCGTCTTTGCATTTGGAGAAAATATCTTCGACTCTTGTTGGAGGTTATCGAGGTTTGCCTAATTTTTACTTGATTGCGATGCCGGTATATCCTCTCAATAATTAGAACAAAGAGAGCGGATGATCGCTTCATTGCTGAGTAGAAGTAACCATCAAGTCGTCAGTACAGTGCCAAAGTCAGACGACTGCAATTTCACAACGCTCATTTCACGATGATGGAAACAATATTCGTGTAGTACACACTTGGACCACTCGGTCATCCCACTTTAGCCACTTGTCGGCCCAGCAAGCAGATACTGACCATTACGATAAGAACACTGCGTGAACGAGGGACTAGGCGCTGTTCACACAAGGCATTACGTCATGTTTTGGGCCTCGAAAAACCCCGGGAAAGCGTTTTGGGTGGCAGAGACCTGGCGCATGGCGTTGGCATTTATCCACGAGGTGAAATATGAAAGTAGGAAGCGGTATTTTGGTCTTTCGCCTGGTCTTTTCTTTCTTGTTGGCTGTTGCCTATGGACGCTCTGGACCATGTCTGCCCAATCGTCAGCTGAGGACCGCCTGAAGAAGTCCAGTTCGTTATGGGAATCGACTTTGCGCAAGAAAAACTCTTCGTCATGGAAAGTGGGGGAAATGAGGCTGTACCTGCAGCTGAAAGGCGAAGACGACTCTGGAAAGAAAGCTGACCTGCAAAAGAGGTGAGACACACAAAACACCTTGTCCTCTGTGTAAGGATGCAATAAAAAATTGATATTACTCCTGAAATTGCTGTGGGAATAGTTTCCAAATAATAATAAAATGCGCAATAATATTATTATCATTCGCTGTACACACGTTTTTGTATTTGTGCAGAGTGTCGGCACTGCTGCTGTCTGGGACTGTGACTGGTGAGCTTGAGGATGACACCGCTGGAGCCTCGTCATCTGATGTCCGTTTTCCTGACAGAGGATGGAAGAAGCTGGTGGATGTGACGCAGGAGGAGCTGAAGATGAAGTTCTCAATCTTCTCCCTCATGGACTACTTCATGTGCAGGAAGTCGTCTGATGGTCTGGATGCTGACGACATGAGAGCTGTGTCCTCCCATAGCTTTGGACTCTACAGCAAGAAGTACTGCCGAGATGGAGAGGTCTGCCTGGAGAATGGGACGGTGTATTTCCGTGGGTTTTGCAAGGCAGAGATGAAGACGTCGATGCGGTATAAAATAGCAATGGCAATGAAACGCGAGCCCTCTGTACGGATCATCTATGCGTCTTGTGAGTGCCGAGCTGGCATTGGCCCATCAGCCAGCTGCAAGCACATCGGGGCCATGTGCTATGGACTAGAGGAATTCTGCCGACGAGGGATATTCACTGGGATGACCTGCTCAACCAGTGACCTACAGGCTTGGAGCGCACCACCAGGCAAAAGGCGAGTTTCTGACATGGAGTTCGCTAAGCCTGTGTTCAACCATACCCCGAAGTCAACCTCCAGTCGTGCGTCCTTCGATCCACGTGCTGCCACCGCTCCAAAAGACTCTGCACCAGAAGAGCGACAGAGACTCTTTGACTTGTTGAGCTCTTGCTCCCAACCAGCCAATATCCTGGACACTCTGCGGCCATGCTCTACCTCTCCTGCTCAGACAACCACCTGCTCCACTGGATCAACCGACTGCCGGTCAGTGCCGGAGCTAGTGCAGCTGATGAAGGAGTCCAGGACGTACCGCAGCACATTCCGACCTGATGGCAGTGTTGTCGTGGCATGGTGTGATATGTTCATGCGTCATATGCAAGTGTCCAGGCAGCAACGCCATGCACTGGAGTATCGAACTCGTGGGCAGGCTGGTAACCGGCAGTGGAAAATGCAAAGGTATGTCTGAGGATAGTGTACTGCATTCAGTCCAGGAAAGTCTGCAGGCACATAACACTATCCAAAACATGACGAGTGTATACTGTTTTCATGCTTTTGTTGACGACTTTGTTTAGGCCATGACTTTACAACACTTTCAAGTATGTTCAAATTCACCCAACACTGCAGATTGGTTGGTTCATGTGTATGTCCCTCTGGTGTGTTCATTTCGTGCCCTATGCAACAGGTACGGGCGACTCACAGCATCCAACTTCGGCGTGATTGTGAAGTGCAAATCAGCACATCCGTCGTTGGTGAAACGCCTTCTATCCCAGTCAGTTATCAACAGTCCGGCCTTGTCGTGGGGCAGAGAGCATGAAGATGAAGCCGTCCGCATCTACTTGGAGAAGCAGCACATGTCTGGCATGAATGGCCTGTGTGTCTCACGGCGTGGTCTTGTTGTCATGCAGTGTGGGTACGTTGCTGCCAGCCCAGATGGAATCGTATTCGTCCCGACCCAGCCGCTGACATCGCAAATGGGTTTACTTGAGGTCAAATGCCCATATTCCCATCGTCACCACTCTCCCCAAGATGCATGCATGGAGTCTGGCTCCAACCCATTCTACTGCACATGGTCAGATGGAGGTTTATGCCTACGGCGACAACATGACTATTTCTATCAAGTGCAAGGTGGCATGGCAGTTGCTGAAGTGCAGTGGTGCGACTTTGTCGTGTGGACGCCAATGGGCATCGCTATACAGCGAATCCCATTCGACGCGGCGTTCTGGAAGGAGCAGATGGAGCCGAAATTGACCGGCTTCTACCGTGGTTGGCTGCTTCCGCAACTTCTTCACCCACAAGAAGAGCCCGTCTGCTACACGGATGTTGCCCCTGCCGACCTCACCCAGCTCAATGTGCCGCCGCCAGTGTCGTGTGCTCTACAAAATGCCGCCACCTCTCCAACGCAAGAGAAGGATAGCCCGCCACGACAGGTGTGCGCTGCAGAAGATGCTGCCAAGTCTCCAACGCAAGGAAATGTGGACCGGCAGCAACGTATGTCAACCGCCTCAGGAGTCTCATCCTGCTGCCAAGGTTGTTCATTTGATCGAGCATTGGCATTGCATCCGTGCAAAGTCTGTGCCCATCAGTTCCATCATATGTGCACGAATGATGACATGGGCAAAGTTTGCAGTTGCTGCTTGAGAGCTCATGGTGACGTCAGTCTTTGACGTGTTCATTGGCTGCCACCATTGCTACATGTATTTCCCCACCCTATGGACGGTGGAGCTGTGGCAATGCATCCACATGAACGGCTACGCATGCATACGGTGTACATACTTATATTGTCAGTGTACATAATGTCTAGTGTTTTATTGCCAGTGTACAGAACATGAAAGTGGATACAGCCCCACGTCACACCATTTTTTTTACAACCATACGTGAACATAGCCCACTTTATTGCCGTACATGACAGCCACACACATGCTTGTGATTTGTATGGTTGCTTCCATGATCCATTGAGTTACTTTCATAGAACGCACTTTTGTCACTTCATGCTGAAAAGAAAAGAGGAGAAATACAGGCAGTGATATTGCTATGGTGGTGACAGCAGTCACGTGTGGAAAATAGCAACGGATGCATGGTGGGGGTTGGGGGGGGGGGGAAGAGGCTCACAGAAGCAAACACTGGGACAGGCCATCATGAACCTGTCAGTAACTGAACGCATTGAGCAGTAGCGGTGCAGCAAGAAATGGAAGGAAGCTATGTAATGAGCTGCGCACCAAAATCGGCAACCACACAGCAAACCAGAAATATGGCATCAGCAATGTCAAAGTGAGCGGATAGAATAAAATCCAGGATGTGAAAGTTCTTTATTCGTTCGATAGCACGTTCTACATGAACGCGTAGCGAGGCAACGCGGCGGGTCTGCACCAACTCCTTTTCGGTCAGCTGTTGGCCATTCTTGATGAACGGTGGTATGTTGACATAGGCACCCCGTTCTGAGGTAACAAGAAACAAGAAGCACAGTTTATAAGCTTCCAAGGAAAACTTGCTTACACCACCATTTCCAGCATTGACTGCACAACACATCTACTGTAAGGAGGAGTTTACAGCACTGATCGCAACCATAAAGTATTGTTCACCAAAAGGAAACAAAACAGGGGACATACCTTCACAGAGTTCCTTGATTGTGAATCCTTTGTCCGCCATGACTGAGTCACCTTTGTCCAGCAAATCCAGCACTCCACACGTCTTGGTGATTTCACGGTCAGAAACTGACCCACCATACAGGGAAGAGATGAACGAGATAGCTCCACTGGGTGTGATGCAAACTAGAGCTTTGAATGTGTTTCTATTCTTGTACGTTGACCAGGTGACTCTCTGAGTGTCGGGGTCGGAGGGAATCTGGATGGGGAACTCGGTGCAATCGATTATAGTGCGTGTGGTGGGGTATAGGTCGCGGAACTTCTGGGGCATAGCGGCATCGATCTACAGGTTAGTAGATAGAACATGGGCACATAGCACACACACACACACACACACACACCAATGGGACTCAATTCTCGAAAGACCAGATCAAGCACAGACACTGATGCGATCGTATGTAAGGTATACTTTAGGAAAAAAATAAACCAGCCCTATTGCAATCCAAAAGGCTGGACTCACTAACGACCTGTAATGGGTTAGGCTTCAGCTGTTGAGCCACGGGCATATCATCAACAGACATAAATCATTCTGGCATGACAACTAACCTGCGCTCTAGACGGCCAGGCGGGTAGCTGTGCGGACTTGAAGGCGTGGTACATGACCATAAGGTACGAGGTGAAGATGCGGCTCACAGTACCTGCACTGATTGAAAACCTCTGAGCCAGGTCTTCGTTAGGACAATCCAGCCGCAACTTCATGAACGTAAGGAGCAGGCTGTTTTCATCGTCCAAGGCCCTCACACACTGACGTTGCCGTTCACCTATGCAGTGGGCACAGTACATTGAACCGAGACATGTATGACATGGCCCACGAAAAGAAGTTTGATTTGCCAGGAGGATGGAGACTCACAGCACTGAGTATGGAAATTATGGTACCGACACAAGTAGGTTCCGTACTACTGAAGTCATTCCACCCAACAACATTGCAAAGCACAGTATTTACATCATCAAAATCTAGCACAGAGCAGATAACATCCTCACCTGTTCTTGCTCCATTCCATAAGGTCATCCCCTTGCAGTGGGGCTCCAGGAAAGCCACCAATGCCTGAAATTGCTCATAGCTGGGGATACCAGTATAGAACTTGGTGAGGCTGTCACTGTTGCAAATCCTGGCGACAGAAAACTCTGGTGCTGGTACTGTGGCAGTTTCCTCCAACTTGACTCGCAGTGCCTCATTCTCCTGTGTCAACTTCTGCACCTCCATCCGCAACCGTGTGTTCTCCTCCAAACATTCCTGGATCTGAGTTCGCACTTCACTGATCTGCTCATCAACGCTGGGCAGGGATGGTGATGGCTGCTCCTCACAAGTGCTTTCACATGTTTCAGGCTTCGCTGCTGACGGTTGGGGCGTTTTGTCCTGATGTGTCTTCAGAGCCACGCGTTCTTTTGGCGTTTTCCTCGTCTTCTCTGCTGCTGACCATGCGAACAGCGTTGGGGTAGGATGCTCCTTGGAGCGCTTTCCGCCAACAAAATGAGCGCCGCAGACCCTTGTCGAGCTGCCCACAACCACACTCAATGTCCGCATGTTGTGGAGCCACTTTTTGAGTGTAGGCTTCTTTCCCAGAGGAAGACGGTGAAAAGAAAGCTTTGTTCCATCTTTCCGCTTGCCACCCCGATTAGAGCAGCCAAAGACGCAGCAAGTCTTCGTCATCGTGTCTAAACGACTACAACCACTTCCTCCACAGTCGACAGATAACCTGAACCTAACTAAACCAAAATGTAAGTTTGTTCTTTCTTCAAACCACGAAGCCCAAAAGTTTTTGCCACCCAATCTGAGCTTCCCGCGCGATGACGTAAACCAATGATGTCACTTGCCCTTGTGTGTACAACGCCTATTCAAGACGTGCCTCCAGTCAAGAATTAGGGTCTTACTCGAGAACTTCACAAATACAGGCCTAGGCACCGCACAAAACTGATACATGTAGATGGCACGAACGAAAGACAAAAATAGGCTAGACAAAGTCTGCAGAACCAGCTACGAAGTGCGGAGGGGGCTGCTGGCGCCTGTTTACGGCTCCATTGTGTTCACAAGCACATACATGTATATGAAAAGTGAGGCTGTGCAGTGATTGTACCGCTTATGGCTTTGCCGTGTCGTCTGGGTGGGCTCGGTTTGATTAACCCTGTGTCCATATGCCAACAATACGAATCGTGGGTTCGGATGACCAACCCTCTGTCTCGGAGAATCTTGTCAAGGGATGGATCCATCGGTGACTCGGTAGTATTAATCAGGTCGGCCAAGAGAGACGCCAGGGCATCTTCTCGACGTCATCAGAAACTGGAATTCGACGCGATATCGGGCAGTGCGTCGGAGTCGCTACGACATGTCATTGACGTCGCGAAGGAGAAAGGGTCATCGAGCTGGCTGACGTGCCGTCCGCTTAAGAAGTATCATTTTAATTTATCAAAGGGAGAGTTCTGGGACGGACTCTGCCTCCGTTACGGATGGACGCCGGCCAGGGTACCGTCACACTGCTCTTGCGGCCAAGAGGCAACTGTCGCGCATTCCCTGTCGTGCCCCATGTGGAGGGTTTCCCTCCATTAGACACAATGGTATTCGGGACGTCACGGCCCAGTTGTCGGATGAGGTGTGCACCAGTGTGTCCATCGAGCCCTTGCTGCAACCGCTGAAGGGGGAGCGTCTTCCCTACCAGACTGCGAATGTGGAGGACCGTGCCCGGTTGGATGTCGCTGCCAATGGTTTGTGGGGCAGTCGTTTTGAGCGTACACTTATTGATATACGGGTTTTTAACCCTCACTCACGCTCGAATCGATCTGCACCACATACTATTGTGTATCAGCGACACGAAAAAGAAAAGAGAAGGCACTATGAGGAGCGGGTGAGGCAGGTTGAGCAAGCCTCCTTTGTTCCGGCGGTCATGTTAGCCAGTGGCGGAATGGGTCCAGCATCAACAGCACTGTATAAACGCATTGCTCATCTGTTGACTGAGAAGAGGGGTGAGCACTATTCTCATGTTATGGCATTTGTTAGATGCAAGATTTCCTTCAGCCTTTTGAAATCCTGTATCATGTGCATTCGCGGTTGTAGGCGTATAAATTTTAGTTTGCACCATCCTGCGGAGCCCACGCTGCTTTGGCAGTGGCGGAGGCTCGCTTGCCGACGTAACCGTCGGAGACCATCATGAACAATGGACTGACTAATTATTCACTTGTCCTGTCTTTCTAAATAACATGTTATTGTACATATTCTTGGTTTAGTTTTGTGCCTTTTTCGTGCTTTGGAGTTATTTGTTGTTTTTGACTGTTGATAGTAGATTTACATGACTTGTGTAAAACAAATAATAATAAAAAAATGAAAAAGTGATTGTACCGAGAAACTTCTGTATGGAGCACAACGGTCACGACGGGCTGTCCGCTTTGGGTAGTGTTATCTCTTTCCTTCACCCTACACAGTGGGTCCATTGTTATTAGGCATCTGCCTGTTTTGGTTTTCTCCACTATAAATAAAAGAATAAAACAAACAATAAAAGAATACTACTATACTAGTTAATGGGTGGGTCACATTAAGGGAACAATCCTCAGATGATAAACCGGGAATGATCTTTTCTACTTTTAATCACGGCCACACTGGATACGCACGATGAAAAAATCTCACTCACAGGAGCCATTTTTCTGGCACCATTCGCTGCTGGCAGTCTGTCAGCCCCGCTCCTCGGCCAGTGTTGCATCAGCACAGCTTCTGGAGTATCGCCCCACTTCATAACGCAATAAAAAAAACAAGGAAACTCAAAGAAATCCAGGGGAAGCCGCGGATGATTATAATCTTCGGCGGAAAAACAGGGCCTCGAGCTGATTTTCATCGCGCGGATCTCTCAAATATCCCGCTCATAGGCAGATATCCATGGTAACGACGGATGTTTTTCAAATTTTCCCTCAGTGTGACCGGCCCATTAGGGCTCAAGATTATTTCAAGGAATGCACTGCGTACATGTACTTAAACAAAAGTTTGGACTCGGATGGAGAGCCAAGGATTAATTTTTAAGAAAGAAAATGGACCAAGGAACTACAAGGTACGCTATTTTGTGCACTAACACCACCAGTTACTTAACAATCAGCTCATGCGATAACATTGCACGACACTGACCGACGGTACTGACGTTCTACAACTAACTGGCTAACAGCTGTAGCACATCTTGGATGCGCACTCAAACAGCCTTCCAACTTGGAAGGTTCTAGGTTATAGAAATAACGTAAAGAGGGGAAGGTGAGCGCAACCAAGATAAGCGCGAGCTGAAAGTCTCAGCTGTGAAGGACGTTGGCGGATGTTCATGCATGTCGATGACGATACTGGCAAGACCACTGGACAATGCGGTCAAACCACGATTCAGGAACGCA